CTTTCTTATATTCATTTTCCTGGTCCCTTATTTAAGTTTTCTAGATTCCTGCTATGAGTGAGACCATCCGGTATTTTTCTTTTTCTTTTTGGCTTATTTCGCTGAGCATGATCCCTTCCAATGCCATCCATGTTGCTGCAAATTGCATGTGTTTATCTTTTTTGAATGCTGAGTAATATTCCATGGTATATATGTACCACATCTTCTTGATCCAGTCATCTATTTTTGGGCATTTGGGTTGTTTCCAAAGCTTAGCTATTGTAAACAGTGCTGCTATAAACATAGGAGTGCAGGTGCTCTTTGGAATTGATGTTTCTGTGTCCTTTGGGTAAATACCTAGGAGTGGAATTGCTGGATCATATGGAAGCTCTCTTTAAACCTTTCAGGGAGATAGGAGAAGTGACACAAATAGGAAACAATTTTGTTGTTTAGAAATACTATCTGGATTGAAATGTGTTGAATTGAAGCAGGGGAGGTGGTGGTGGCAAAGGTGGTGGTGGTGGTGTGTGTGTCTATGCTTACAAAGACAGACTGTTGATTTTTGTTCTTTTTCAAATGTCACAAGTGTAAAGGCTCTGCCATGCTCATTGGCAGTACAGTGCTCATTCTGTTACATGTTAGCCCTGGACTTCCAAATGTTCAACAGAACTGTTGTGGGCAGAGAGTTAGACCAGGCAGTAACCTGTTTGACTGTTCTTGGGGGCTCTGATGTGGTAGAACTAAAGCAGGAAGAGAAGGAGTCCAAAATACTCAAGCTAGAAGGGGCTTTTGGGATAAAGTAGTGATAATAACCAGTCTAGAGAGAGAGAGTTTGATGTGTTTCCTTCCCAAGGACTCTGTGTAGTAAATAAAGCAAAGCCAATAGTTATCAATGGATAACTGGGCCATATACTTAGCAAGTGTTCTGATATTATATAAGCAAATACAGTGGAGAGAAGCTTTGGAGAAGAATCTACCAACTGTTTTCCTCTGGTTTAGGGGAAAAAAAAACCTGTTGCCTGGTGATTGGAAAAAAAGAATGTCTTATAGATCTGCAATTTTTTTTTTTTGAGGGGGGTGTCAAAATGGGATCTTTAATTAAACTTATTTATTGCCTTTGTATATATAATTTATTATGTTAACATGAATTCATTTATTCATTTAAGGAGTGTTTACTTATCTGGACTTAACATAGCTCTTTTTCAAGTCTTTCTCTTCTGAAAGGAAGAATATTAAAAATCTCAGATAATAAGGATTTGATATATTCTAGGTTAATGAAAACATGACCTTTTTTTTTTTCCTTTTCATGCTTGTGTACATTTTTTGCTCAGTTTAAAAATTAAACAGGTTAATGGTCAGTGTAAGTAAGCATCACACTACATATTGTATATAAGTAATTTTTCCTATTATTTTGAAAGCACTTTCAGGGGGAGAAAGCCTAACTCACTTATAAAAATTTTCATCTATTCTTCTCATGCATGAAGTTGGGTGTTGTGTGCTGGTAGACCTGTGTGGTACATCTGGTTATTTGGACAGAGTTTTGAAACACTGTAGCCTTGGATTACAAGGGTAGTAATATGGAAGGAGAAGAGAAATGATACGGTTATATCATACAAATTTCAATATCTTCTGGCCTGAATTGTTAACTTTATTTTTAAAAATTTGGAATCATCAGCATTAGAACCAGTTTTATCTTGGATATTCAGCTTGCAAGAGAAGATTTCTTTAAAGTGGAAATACTTTATCTCACCAGTTGATGTAGGGAGCGGGAAGAAAATTTGACTGTCAATTCATCACTGTTCCTGTAAAGCAACTTCTATAGTAGGGTTAAATTAGTGTAGGATAGTGGCATGATTCTTAAAATAATTCAATTCAGCAAACATTTGTTAAGCACCTATTATTTGAGTCAGTGTTTAATGCCAAAAGTTACAGAGACGAATGATGATGAGTGTTGACCTTAAGAGGCTTATTCTAGTGGAGGAGCCAAAGGTGAATGAATGTTACCCACCAATCTGATAAGTGTAAACAGAGAAGCTTGGAAGAGTAGCATCTGAAAGAGCTAACATCTGGGATGGATTTGATAGGAAGAACTTCTAGTGATTTCGGCTAAATTGATATCCATAGTTTCAAGAATGAATATTAATCTCCCCATTTTGTCACCTAAAAAACCTGATCACTTTCTAAAGATGGATATTCCTTCCATATTTTCTGAAACTTGGTCTTTTATTGCATAGATCTTATGGATTATCTGATTCTTGAACAATTTGAAGGGCAATATAGGGTTTGGAGTGTTTAGATTTTATAAAGGTGATATAATGGCCAATCATCATCAAAATGATTCTTAGGTGTTACTGAGTGACAAAGAGTGATCCTAAATGTTGTTCTAATTAGTTTAAAATTAATTGCTTTATTTTTAGAGTACTATCTATTTTCTAAAATGTTTTAGTTCCTATTTCTTTTTAAGAACAAGTTAGAAACGCATGTTAATAATTCTGGTTATAAAATTCTCAAATAAACTATTCCCCCTCATTTGACTTTCTTCAAATTAGAATTGTAAGTCTGTATTTGTGTTGCTACTGCTTTCTGTCATGTTGTATGTAAAATGTTCCCATTGTTTGCTTCTAATTAAGAATGGAGGGTGCTCTATAGGCATCCTTCACTGTTATTTATGAAAATAATTGCATTTAAAAATAATTGAGGTATGACATGCTGAGTGATTTCTTATAAAACCAGACTTGACTTCTATGGAATATTAACACATAACAGATCATTTCCTTTAGCGGGTGGGAAAAAATAATCCAAGACCTTCAACTATAAGATGTGCTCACTAACAGCTGTTTCCTATAATAGGAGCAATTTGCATGCAGAAAAGAGAAAATGAATTATACAAAAGGGTGTATAGAGAAATAGCTATAACTTCTCTGGCATGTACAGCAGCCCACAGAATAAACTTCCTTCAAATGACATTGGCATGATTAATCCCAAACAACCTGGACACTGAGACTGCTGTTCTGAGATGGAGCTCTGCAGCCTGGTTATGCCGTGCTTATAAATTCTAGCCTTCAAGCAAAGAGGGAATGTGGGGGAGCTCGGTGCATTCAGGGGCAAACCCCTTCCAGTGCTCAGGGTATTTGAATATTCATACCAGGTTGGCAGGTGGTCAGTGGACACAGGACTGAAGCCATTCTGAGTTCTTCTGCTCTTTCAGTTTTTATTAGAGTAGTTTGTAAGGTCAGGTGAGATGCCTCATTTCTGATTTATTTCTGATGTCAGTTTGGGGGAGTTTTTCCTAAAGTGGGGTAAAGAAAACTGCCAAGTGTTTAAGTCCTACCTGTAGTTTACTCTTTGTCATCATACTTGTACTCATGAAATGACTGACCAGTTTTCATGCACATCATCATCTGTTATAGAGATGCCTCACACTTAGATTTCTTCACATCTGCTTATATCACGGTGGTCATGCTTACAGATGTGTAGATAGTGTTGTCTCTTAAAGAGAAAGGAATGGGAGCTGTCTAGAGAGTCCTAACTCTAGGACCATGGACCTGAGTCTTCTTACTTAAATCTAGACTGCTTTACTTGCTGCTCCTTTCTATTTTCATCTGAAAAGCTTCCATGACTATGGGGTATTTTATGGGTTAGATTTCTTGCCTCACCCATAGCTACTTATTGAGAACTTATGTGTACCAGGATCTTTTCTGTATCCTTCCCATACATCATCCTCTTTAATCCTCACACTGTCTGCAATAGGCATCCAATGTTCAGACTGGAGTCACTTTGCAGAGAGGTTGGGCTTGGATTGGCATCCAGGTGTTGTGGGTGACATAACTTGAACCCTGACATTCTCTGTGTTCCTCAGGTAAATGTTTCTGTGTTGAAGAAATGAAAGGAAATTGCAGAAAAGATTCCTGAATATATGGTAATTAGAACTCAGTTGAGCGTCTAACCAATGAGTCAGACAGTTGATGCTTTGAGATGGTAAAAGAAGAGATAATAGTACTATGTAGTCTGGAAAGGTCTTGTAAAGAAATTGGGATTTGAACTAGCAGAGCATAGTGCAGAGCATTAGGTGTGATAGAAAGGGTAACAAAAAGCAGGGCATGGGTGGGAAAGGTTGTACATATTGGGGGGAATTGATGCCTTTGAGTGAAGCACAGGAGTTTTAGTGGGTGACAAAGGAGAAAGACTGAAAAGGTAGGCTGGAGTTTTGATGAAGAGCACTTGGGTTATCTCCATATGTGGCCTCATTCAACATGGACAGTTTTACTCCTTTGCCATACTAACAAGTACAATCTCACCTAGAATAATTCCAGTAGACTTGTGACAGGCTCGATATAATGGAAATTACAGCGGGATGAAATCTTATTTAGCCTCCCAAGACCTTACCTAATAGTTCCTACATAAGAAATACAAAAGCCTTATAGTTGTTTATACAATTTTATGATGTGAATAGATTTAAGTGTTTTTTTCTATTTGTAACAATATTTTAATAAACATTCTTTTGGGAGAAAGAGAGGAACAGTAAATATTAGTGGGTGCCAATGACATTTGGCATCTGTGGGTTTGAGATTTTCTTAGCAAGAAGGGTGGTCCTACAATCCTATAGCATAGAAATCCTTTCTCCAAAGAAGCGATTTAGGGGTGGGGTGATTTGCATCAAGGACTAGATATACTTAGTATTTTGTGAAGAAATGTATGGGTGTTTCCATGTTTTCAGTCATAAGGAGCTATCCTGTTTCCCTGAAACTTTAGGGGAGGGTGGTAACACCTGAAGCCAAATTATTAACGATGATGGATAATGGTGATGAGCTACCCACCTTCGAGATTTATATAAAAAATTTACATATTTGCCTTATGTGGTATAAAGAATAGATTAAAAACTTAGCTGGGGGGGGTTAGCAAGGGACTGCGGAAATTGAGGGTGGTTTAGATGGTAGAACTGGATTTTCTTTTTTTTTAAGGAAAGAATATCTTTTTGTCTATTATTTTTAACTTACCTGTTTTCTCTTTTAATGTTGCAGTGTGCAAAGACCCACCTTACAAAGTAGAAGAATCTGGGTATGCTGGTTTCATTTTGCCAATTGAGGTTTATTTTAAAAACAAGGTATGTAGTCTTTATCCATTAATGTTTGCCTAAAAGGTCCTCTATTAGCCAAATGATGTTTACAGTAATTTGGATTAATAAGCACGTCTATCGCTAGGTGATTTTAAAATAAAAGTTAAATTTGTCTCAGGAATTTTGGTTGTTATTACCTTAATTATAGAGGAGGTGGCTAACAAAAGATAATTTCAAATAAATAAAGTCAGACTATATGGAATTCATTGAATATTTCTTTTAAGGGAATGATTACCATTTGGGAAAAGTAGATTAATATGTTTGTAATATAGAAAAGATAAATTATGGTTTTTTAGTGATATGCTTCTTTGCTCATTTTCCTATTTCTAGAATTTTGGGGACTTGCAAAGAATAGTCTTTCATTTATCTTTAGCTGACACACCTGGTGCACATATACAGTTGTATCATGATAAGAGATTATGGATTCTACTGCATTTAAAAGTTTTCAATAACATCACTGTGACAGAACATATAAACTATATAATATTGAACAATTACTCAATGTCAGTAAAGTTCACTTTCCTTTGTAAAATGGGGATAGAATAAGAATATCTCTCATAAGGTAACTTAGGGAGGGTTGGATAAAATAAATCAGTGTATTTAGAAAAATGCCTCATTTACAAGTAAGCACTTAATAAGTGCTGACTGTTAACATACTTTCTAAAGTCCTGAAGTGAGATAACATACCTTTTTGTATTAAAGGTACAGAGCAAATTAAATGTCATGTCACCCAAACAAGTACTTGATAAAGTGTGGTCTTTGGACCAGCAGCATCAGTATCACCCAAGAGCTATTTAGAAATAAGATTCACTGTAAACCAATGTTAACTTAAAAAAAAATACATACTGCAATATAAAAAAAATTAGTAAGCAATTCTTATAAATCGTGAAGAAAAAAATCAGAGAAAGAACTGAGGTTTTCAGGCTCCACCCCAGAGCTAAAGCAGTATCTTGGAGGTGAGGCTTAGAAGTCTGCGTATTTATAAGCCTTCCAGGTGTTTCTCATGCACAATAAAGTGTGAGAACCACAGGTAAGTCAGTCTAATGTAGTGTACCTTCCTTTGGCACAGTGCCCTGGTGACTATTGTCAATGTATAGAAGGCCCCACCTTTAGTTAATATAAAGCTCTTTATGATTAAGGGATAATTCACTTTCAATTAAACTGTAATAAAACTTTCTGTAGATTAGGATTATATGCATGAGTAGGATAGATTTTGTTTTCCATATTTCTTGTTTCTTTCTGAGCCCATGCTCCGCACACACCACATTCTTGCTGCTATTGGTTACCTCCCAACCTGCTACCTTATTACTAGTTTATAAAAAAGTTGTATTTTGTGAGCATATTTGGCAGTATCCTATTTCTGTAGAGCTAAATATTTTCATGCTTATTTTGTCCTTGGAAGTCCACTGAACCCCTTAAATATGTTGTTTCACCCCATAGGTTTATAAGAAGTTTTTTTAAAAATATTTATTTATTTATGCATATAAGAGCTGGGGTACAGGCCAGAGGTGTGGGGAGTGAGAGGATCCACCAGAGACAGATTGGGGAATAGAACCGGCAGATTGACCGAAGTACACTGCTGAGGGGAGCACTGGGCTAGTCAGGAGAGGTCTGCCTCGCCATGTGGGCAGCTCCCTGGCCGTCCGTGGGATCGAACTCGTGCTGCAGAGGCTGCGGACAGCTTTATAGGTTGCCTCTTAACCCTCTGCACCACCAGGGAGGCCCTATAAGAAGTTTTGAGGGGTAAATAATATTATTCCTACTTTGTGAGAAAGGAAACTGAGTCATAGAGAGGTTGAATAGCTTGTCTAAGGTCAAACACAGGTGGAAATAGTTCAAACCAGAGTCTCAATCTAGATCTTTCCATTGCCTTATGAGTAATAGGTCGTTGCTTACTTTTCTCAGTGGTGGTATCATGAATTCATGATTTTCATTATATCACTTCACTGAGTATGTGCTAATGTAATATACCTTTACACTGATATATTGATTTGATTTTTTTCTCATTTCAAGCTGTATTTTCCTTAAAATACTAAGTTTTATCTCTTTCCCTAACTTCATAGAAAATTGATATATAATTTATATACCATAAAACCATTTTAAAGTGTACAGCTCAGGGTGTTAGTATAATGTGTCACCACTACCACTAATTCTAAGGCCTTTTTATTACTTTACAAAGGAACCTGATACCCATCACTTCTGCAGAAGCCCTTGGCTAGCATTGAACTCCTTCTTTTCTGTGTGGTTTCCTGTACCTGCTACTCCAAGTATATAGAATAATACAATACGGAGCTTTTCATGTTGGACTTCTTTCACTTAACATGTTTTCAAGTTTCCTTCATTTTATAGGATGTATTAATACTTGCTCCTTTTAACAATATTTTTATAATCTTCCAGTGTGTACATACACAATATTTTTTTTAATTCATTTAAAATTTAATGGGCATTTGACTTGTTTACACCTTGGCTGTTCTGAATAGTGCTGCTGTGAATACGCATATACAAGTTTGTGTGTGGACATAGGTTTTCATATCTCCTGGGTATTTATCTAGATGGTGTTTTGTGGTCATATGATAACTTTTATATACTTTTTTTTTTTTTTTTTTAAATAGAGGCATGTTTTATTTATTTATTTGTTTGTTTGTTTGCTTGTTTTCTTTATACATGCACTGGGTACAGTCAGAAGCACGGGAGGGTGAGAGAATTCACCAGAGCCAGAGCGGGGAGCAGAGCAGGCAGAATGACGAAGTACACTGCTGAGGGGAGCAGCGGGCGGCAGGAGAGGTCTGCGCGCCATGTGGGACCCTCCTCTGGTGGCCGGGGAGCAGCCGGGGATCGAACTGGTGCCGCAGAGGCCGCGGGCAGCTTCGCAACCCAGCGCTCAACCGCTGCGCCACCGGGGAGGCCCATATGATAACTTTTTATTTAACTTTTTGAAGAACTGTCAAGCTATTTCCCAAAATGACTACTAGTATTAGAAGTTCCCACCAACAACATAAGAAGATTCCAATTTCTCCACTTCTTTGCTAGCACTCATTATTTATTTTTGACTATAGGTATCATTGAGAAGTGGTATCTCATTTCGGTTTGATTTGTGTTTGTTTGATCACCTAAGATGTTGAGCATCTTTTCATAGTTTATTGTTCATTTATTTTCTTTGGGAAAATGACTGTTCATATCCTTTGTCCATTTTTTACATATTGATATATAATTTAAGTGGTTTTGTCTATGGGAAGGAATTTAGAGCCAATCTCTTGCCTACCCTCTTCTTTCAATATCATAAAAGCTTAATTAATGGAGATCATTTGATGATTTTCTTCCCCCTTGTCATACTCTTCATATCCTGTGTTTCATTTTATTTAGGCATGTGACTGCTCTAGAGTCGAGGTTTCAAGATAGAAAAAGATCTTGTCCCAAAGAAATTAGGGGTTAGTCAGTTACAATCTCTTAAGAGAGGACCATACTGGTTATACTGCTCTTCTCGCATCACCAAACTTAATAAGGCTTTACATTGGCTTCACCGTGAAAAATAATGCTCCAGTGAAATATCTTTTCTCCTTTGTTTTTAACTTTCCTGGTCATTTTTACAAGCTTTCAGCTGAGTGGCGAAATATATTTTCTGAATTGCCCAATTTTCTTCTTTACAGATAACTGGACTCTCACTATAGATAAGATTTTAAAGGAGCACAAATGAAGGATGAACAGGTAGCATGTATTGCCCACATGTGTGCACTTACAAACTCCGTCTTCTTGGTACTTTGGGTAGTCAGGCTTATGACTGAAAAGCATTATTTGTTTCCTTTGTGAGGAATTTTAATTTCTTAAGATATAAAGGAAGACAGAGGCATGTAAGATTTCAAAAGCAGTTTGCAACTTTAAGGCCATAAAAAAAATAGACACTTGGGCTGAATGCTGTAAAATAGATTCCATTTAATCTCCAGATTAGCTTATTTCTATTTTCTAGTTTTAGATTTTATACTTAATAATCTCCCCCTCACAGATGTACACAGAAATATGTGTTTGTGTATTTATATATGTCTGTGTGTATAATACATATTTATGTGTTTGTAATATGAAAAAGTAGGATACACCTAATTGGTCACAAGTAGAGAAATGAATTAGTAATGCTAACCCATTTATATTAGAATGCTCCATAGCAGTGAATATAGTAACATGGGTGTCTCAAGAAAAAAGTAACAACTTAAACGTTGTAGAAGTGTATGCATGTGATTATGATGTCTTTCATATATGTTTTTATAAACCACCAAAGTCAAGAATCAATGATGCTACAGAAAGTCATATGTACAGTAGAGGGCACGAGTTGAAATGCCAGGACAGGAACTAAAGGTTACTGGGGAGGAGGGATAGAGTAGCTTATATTTATAAAATTTCATTTTTTTTTTTAAATTTTTTTAAAGATTTATTTATTTATGTATACAAGAACTGGGGTACAGGCTAGAGGTGTGGGGGGTGAGAGGATTCACTAGAGACAGAGTAGGGAACAGATCAAGCAGATTGATTGAAATACACTGCTGAGGGGAGCAGTGGGCGAGTCAGGAGAAGTCTGCTGTGCCATGTATGTAGCTCCCTGGCTGGGGATCGACTCTTGCTGCAGTGGCTGCGGATAGCTTCATAGGTTGCATCTTAACCCTTTGCACCACCAGGGAGGCCATAAAATTTCATTTATTTAAAGAAAAAAGGTAAACATGGTGACAGTGTTACTATTTGGTTTAATCCTAGTGGAAGGTACATAGATGTAGTATTTAAGGACTTTTCTATATGTCTTCAGTTTTTCATTAAAATGATAAATTATCACTCCGTCATCTAATTTATCTTGATAGAGTATCCTGGAGACCAAAGTTTTGTTATAGTTCAATATGGATCTCTGAACTGGATATATTCCTTATTTCTCTTCCTCTTGAAATGATCCATGGGTAAAAATTTAAGAGGTCTAGGCTGTTGCTCCAGAATGTACACTTCATTTCTTTTCAGAATCTATTATTTTATTCATCCCTGGAGTTTGCTCAACTCCGTTTTGAAATATGATATTTCACTACAATAATGGTTTGTGAAAAAGTACTATCCAGAGATTTCATAAGAGATGACAGACAGCAGCAAAGAGACTTCCACCTGATGTTGGAAGAGCCCTACTCTATGTATTATAGATGCCATCCTGTTTTGGCCCCGTGGCTATCCTTGAGCTTTCCTGGCTTCTAACAAGCCTTTAGTTCTGCTCACTTGAGAGTTCAGAGTCAAGAGGAGTGTTGGAGTGTCAATGCTTCTTTTGAGTTCCAATATGTTTATTCTGCCTTATTTTGTATTTGTATTCAACAAAGCAAGCCTATCTTTGAGAATCATGTGTGTTTCAGAAACTCTAAACCAACAGACACACTAAAACATAATTGACTGTAGCACTTTAGCTTTGAAAGGATCCCTTGCTTCTCTTTTTCACGCTGTCTCAGAAAAAGGACACGAGTAAATGTCAAGGACTGAAACAAATGAAAAGGGTAATTTGATGTTGCCCAAAACATATTTCCACCTCTAGAAAATTCTTTTGCTTTATATGTAGAATAAATGCATGCTTTTCTGTTTGAACTTTGAGTAAAATCTTTTTCTTAGGCATACAGATTGATATAATATTGATATCTGCCCTCTAAGAATCTAACCTAAGAAAGCCTGCTCTCTAATTTAGTTGACTACCACATGACTTTTTTATGGGTACTTTTTCCTTACTTAAAAGAAAATCTTTAAAAGAAAATTGCACTCTTCAAAAGACAGCCATGTCGACCCTTAGTTTGACCTTTAGTTTTATCTTAGTGAAAAGTGATTTTTTTTCTTTCTGATGTTATTTCTGCATTCTTTTTTACTGGCAATTAATTATACTATCAATATTTTTCTCTTCAAAAAAGTATGCAGGCGTTTACTCGTAGTAAAAGTATATAGAATAAAACTTGAGTTTTATTCCCTTACCTACCCTTTTAATTATTAACTATTTTGTATAGTCTTTGCCAGTTTGCCCCATGCATTTGCATAGATAAAATTTATGTCAACATAGGTATTGGCAGGGGCACAATATATCATACTTTAATGTTGTTCCTTGACTTGTCTTTAATTCACTTAGCAATTTGCCTTTCCAAGTCAGGTTTTCTAAACAATTGAGTGGTATACCATAGTAATGAAAGTCTCACACACAGATCATTCTTTTATCTTTTAATTGTAAACAGTGCTGCCATGAAAACTTTATAAACATATACCTTTGCACATATATTGAATATTCCTCTGAAGAGATTTTTAGAATTAGAATTTTTAGATCAAGCTTAATATGCATTAAGTATGTTGATAGAGGGCCTCCCCGGTGGTGCAGCGGTTGAGCGCTGGGTTGCGAAGCTGCCCGCAGCCTCTGCAGCGCCAGTTCGATCCCCGGCTGCTCCCTGGCCACCGGAGGAGGGTCTCACATGGGCACAGACCATTCCTGCCGCCCGCAGTTCCCCTCAGTAGTGTGCTTCAGTCTTTCTGCCTGCTCTGCTCCCTGCTCTGGCTCTGGTGGATTCTCTCACCCTCCCGCGCTTCTGACTGTACCCAGTGCTTGTATGTATGTATAAATAAATAAATAAATAAATAAATAAATAAATAAATCTTTTTAAAAATAAATAAATAAAGTTAAGTATGTTGATAGATATCACCAAAATGTCTTCCAAAAGGTTTCCAATTTACACTCCCAATTACAAGCTAGAAAACTGACCCGGAGAGATTTTAAAATGTAGCCTCTCTGAAAAACAGTAATGCAGTTCCTAAAAATGTTAAACATAGAATTACCACATGACCCAGAAATTCTACTCCTCGGTATGTGCCCAAGAGAAATGAAAATATGTGTCCTAACAAAAACTTTTACATGAATGTTCATAGCAGCATTATTCACAATAACCAAAAAGTTGAAACAGCCTACATGTCTATTAATTCATAAATGGATAAACAAAACCTGATGTATACATAAAATTGAACCATAAAAAGGAACAAAGTGTGAACCCAGAACCCAGTCCTTTCAGTCCTTTCTGAAAGGACTTTCTGAAAGGACTCAGTCACAAAAAGTCCTCATTTTGTATGTGTCTTCTGTATGTGTTCCTGTGATTACATGAAATGTCTGAAATAGGCAATTCCACAGAAACAGAAATAGAACTTGCCAAAGGATGTAGGGACTGGGGGGGACGGAGAATGACTACTAATGAGTTTGAGGTTTCCTTTTGGAATGATGAAAATGTTCTGAAATTTGATGGTCGGTGATGGTCTCTTACTCCTGTGAATATACTAAAAACCACTAAATTGTATACTTTAAAAGTGACTTTTTTCATTAATAAATTGTTTCCCAATGAAGATATTATTAAAGATATAAACAACATTGATTAAAAAAGCAAAATGACAAGTTAATAACAAACTGAAAAATGATAACTGAGCAGAGATGGTTAATATCCATAATAAACAAGGAATTTTTATAAAAAGCAGTATGACAAATTCTAAATGCCTTAATTTTCTAACTAACCCAAAGCAGAGTCATGACAATTAAGTGAGATGACTGTTGAAGTTCATGTTATTGTTACCCTCAGTATCCATTTTATCTTGGATGCTTAAGAATCACTGTAGAGATGTTTAGATGTTTCATCACCTGAAATAATAGCTTAGAATTAGAATTTGGGTATCATGAAATTATAGTGTTTTCTTGGATGTGACACACTTATCCTCCTAGTTCAGAAAATACCTTTTTAAAAAATTAATTTCACAGATATTTGCTTCCTTGTATATACTATATGCATGCACTAAAATGATTGTCGAGAGTACAATGGTCATTCAACCATTGTTTTTACTTTCAAGAATCTATAATTATCCCAGTGTAAAGGGAAATAATAAGAATACAGCTATTCTAAGATGTAGCAAAGAGAAGAGAGATGCATAGAGAGCAGAGGAGAGGAGAGGGACTAGTATTCAAGCAATGTTTCCCAAAGTGAAACCTGAATGAAGAAGGATGAGTAGAAATTACCTAGATAAAACAGAACTTAGAGGGATGAAAGCAGGCATTGGAAGTAGTAACATTAGGCGAGGATAAAACTCAGCATTAACCTACCATGAGGGTGATATCAGGAGCAGACAACAGCAGTGGACCATCAGATGAATTGAAGAATGTGGGCTGATGTGAAGTCAAAAGTCAGTTTATAAAATCCTTTATATGACATTCAGCTTAGATATTTATCCTAATGACAATTGGAAGCTGTTGAAATTGTAATTAAGCAGTGAACATTTGTTTCATATAGTACATTTGACCTGTGAAAATGTTGAACATATTTTATCCGGGAATAAGAAGACCTACTAGAGAAGGAAGTTCTTAATAGTTTGGGCAATGAGTAATGGAAGTAGTGGTTAGAGGGATTATGCCAAAAAAAAAAAAAAAATCTAGGACGTATTTAGGAGAAAAAAATGGCAACCCTTGATGTGGGATGAAATAGGGTAAAGTAAGAAAGGGAGGAAATATCTGTGAGGGTATCTTAGGTTTCTAGTTAGGTGTCTGTTGGTGTTGTCATACCACTCGAGATGTTGCAGGGAAAATGATGAGTTTATTCTTTTAGATTTTCTCTGGCACATGAAATTAATTCATCAGATATTTCCATTTTGCCTCTTGACATTACAGCTTTTAAATGTCTGTGTCTTTTCCATTCATTCGGAGGAGTAAACCCTAGCCTTTTCCATTTCTATTTGTGTCTAACTCTATTCTCTTAAACTTTGTAACCTCCAGGAAGAACCTAAGAAAGTCCGCTTTGATTATGACTTATTCCTGCATCTTGAAGGCCATCCACCAGTGAATCACCTCCGCTGTGAAAAGCTGACTTTTAACAACCCCACAGAGGACTTTAGAAGAAAGTTGCTGAAGGCAGGAGGGGTAAGTGGCACTGCCTTGTGAAAAGCATTCCCATAGGAACTAATTGCTAGTGTGTTAAGTATGATAATTTTTTGAAAGATGTGAAGAAGATGAAGTATCATAATGGCTTAGCTGTAGACTCATTTGAGATGAAGAGATAAACTAATATTTTAAGTAGCATGAGTCTGAAATTACAGTTGGTTAGTCCTTAAGTCTATGCAGTTCAAGTTTATTTTCAACAAGTGTTGGACAAAAAGCCCAAAAAAACCCATTAGACTATCCTAAATTAAGAAAAGAACAACAGCTGGACTTTCTTATTGTCAGTTTATAGAAACTGGGTAAAATTGCAAGTCACATTAAAAATTATGTAAAAATGAGTCATTGTCCAAATTTTCTTGGTCAAAATTAATAGAAAAGGGGTACTCATGCATCCATATTATATATTTGGGTTACTTAGGTACACATTTTTGTTTGAGCATAGATAAAAGATTTTTTTTTTACTTTTTAAATTTTTTGTCCATGTGATTTGGTCAGAAGGGGGAAAGATTTTTGCAAACCTAGACATATGGAAAATATACTTGCCACTAAGTCAGCTGTATAGACAAACAGTACTGACTGGTTGAAATCTACTTAACAGTGGGTGCCATTGAGTTATCTTCACCTCAGGTGAGCTTCCTGTGCCATCTTACATGGGCACTTCAGACGCCATAAAATATTAAAGTGTGTTCTCTACTCTAGAATCACCTTCACTCAGTTTTGCTGAAAGGTTTTTTGCTAGTTTTGCATTTATGAACTAATCATTGCAGTAAGGATGTGTAGACATTCCTCAAGATGCCCCAGTCCACTGATAAACTTCACGTGAGGATTTTACAGGAAAGAGCTGGACTTGACATTATATAAACAATCTTTCCCTTGATGGCGGTATGGACAACCCTTTGAGAACCTCAGGAAAGCTGTGGACTGTCTCATAAAAAATCACCTATATATTTGTAAAATTGTATGAACATTTTGGATTATGTAGTATCCCTGGTTTTTGGCATCCTGTTTTGCTAGGCTCCAGTCCTTTCAGTTGAATTACTGTCTGTTGGAAGCATTGCAAGTCTCTACCACATTTCATTTCATACTGTAATTCATAACAGTAAATAGGGGTTAAATAGGTATTGGTGGGCTAGATTTGGAAATGAACCACCATTTATGGTATTTTATGGGGGAATGCATCTTAATGAAGAAATGAGATTGTGTAATATGACTCATTTTAAAGTTAGGGATTTATTATGTATTTATTAAGGAAGTGGTTTTTTAAAAAAATATCCTTTTTTACTCTTTTTATGGATATCAAGAGCACAGTGTCAATGCTATTTACCTTTAACTATGCCCTTAAAAATGAAGTGGTCCATTTTATATCCTAATTATTCTCATTATTTTTCTTTTTATGAAGGTGGCATTTTATGTTTCTGATTATTCCTTCTGGGCATGTAGGTAATTGGAGCATGTGAATTATGGAATTTGAATGCATCAGACTTCTGATAAGGGTCTTAGGATAAAGTAAATACGACACAAGAACTTTTTAAAACAACCACTTAGTCCCAGAATACTCATGGGTTTCTTGTGAGCTGTAGAGAAAGTTATAGATCAGGAGACTTCAGCAGAGTGCAGTGCTATATCCTGATAGGGTCTCTAGTACATTTCTGTCTTTTGCTCCACTCAGCCTTTATCTCAGAATTAGTCTCCTCAGCTTCTAACTTTCTTTTTTTGTGTTTCTTTAAGTGCTGTGTGAAGCCTGCTGATTTTTTTCTATTAGACTTAGATTGTGTCTTGACAATGCTAAGATAATAAGTTGAAAAGTGAATTATGCAAGCACACCAGTTATTTGACTTAGGTTCTTTAAGGGCCTGATTCCAGTGAATTTCTTAGTAAAATTAAAATTTAAAAATCCACTTAAAATGATAGTAATTTCAGAGACTATTCATTTCATATAGCAAGATTAATTTTTTATGGACATGTGAAAATCTGTAGACTAAATAAACTTTTTTTGGTCTAAATCTAGACTTTTGGCAACCTTGTACTAGTTTTACCTGACATTTAAACATTTATCATTGCCTTAGTATTAATTCAGTTTACCATTGTGTTACAAACTTATGAATCATTTTAATTATTTTAGAAATTTTTTCAGCTTTATTGAGATATAATTGACTTATAACATTGTGTAAGTTTAAAGTGTACAACTTGTTAATTTGATATACTTATATATTGCAAAATGATTACTACCATAGCATTAGCTAACACCTGCATAATTGCCATTTCTTTTTTGTGGTGAGAACATTTAAGATTTACTCTTAGCAACTTTCAAGTATATAATTCAGTATTATTAACTTTAATCACCATGCTGATCCCCAGAACTTTTCATCTTAAAACTGAAAGTCCATACTCTTTGACATGCACCTCCACCCTGACAATTACCATTCTTTCTATGAATTTGGACTTTTTCTATTCCACATGTAAATAATAATATGTCATATTTTTCTTTGTCCAACTTAGCTTACTTAGCTTAATGCCCTCAAGGTTGTATCTACATTGTCACAGATGACTGAATAACATTCCTATTATATAGTATATAATACTACATAATATATATATATATATATAATATAGTATGGGATACACACATACTACATCTTTATCTATTCTTCTGTTGATGAACAATTAGGTTTTTTCCATATCTTGACTATTTTGAGTAGTGCTTCAATAAACTTGGGAGTACAGATATTTCTTGGATATTGCCCCCCTTTTCCTTTTTTACACATTTCCTTTGGATTTGTGGGATTGTTGGATCACTTGGTACTTCTATTTTTTAAAAAATTTATTTATTTTTATACAAGAGCTGGGGTACAGGCCAGAGGCACGGGAGGGTGAGAGGATTCACCAGAGACAGAGTGGGGAGCAGAACAGGCGGAGACAGAAATACACTGCTGAGGGGAGCAGCGGGTGTGACAGGAGAGGTCTGCAGCACCATGTTGGATTATTGCCGGCTGGCCGGGATCGAACCCACACTGCTGAGGCTGCGGACAGCTTCACAGCGCTGCGCTCAACCTGCTGCTCCACCGGGAAGGCCGGGTACTTCTATTTTTAAGATTTGAGGAACCACTGTGTTTTTTTCCAGAGTGCCTGCACCAGTCTATGATCTCACTGATCTCCACATTCTCTTCAACGCTGATAATCATTTCTCTTTCAAATGATAGCCTCTAACAGATATGAGGTGATGCCTCACTGTGGTTTTGATTGCATTTCCCTGACTATTAGTAATGCTGAGCTCCTTCATATACCTGTTGGGCTTCTTGTCTTCCTTGGAAAAATATCTATTCAGATACTCAATCCATTTAAAACTGAATCATTTTTGTTGTTGAGTTGTTTGAGTTCTTTAAATATTTTGGATATTGAGTCCATATTAGATACATGACTTGTAAATACTTTCTCCTACTCAGTAGGTTACCTTTTTGTTTTGTTAATGATTTCCTTTGTTGTAATGTTCTAGAGCTTTTGAGTGTATTGTGGTTTTGCTTGTTTATTTTTGTTTTCATTGCCTTTGCTTTTGGTAGCTATTAGAAATGTTATGTTTATGACTGTTTTTCTTTAGGCAGACTTTCTAAAAAACTAGGTTTTAGGGTAAGAGAGGGAGTACTGTGTTCCTTTTACTAAAACATTACATGTGTGACATGGATGTGTATGTTCCACCTTTAAAGGAAAAAAAGGGTCCCTTCTTTCTATGTGCAATGTGAGACAGGGTGCAGCATGCAGCATGTACAGTGCAAAAGCATTATGTGACGAGAGGCATGAGTGGAGTAAACTCACTGTGTTGGCAATGTTTTCCTCTCTTTCAGTTTTTTCTTTGAAACCAAAAGTACATAGCACCATTAAAAGTTGAATTTGGCTTTCAAGAGACCAGAAAGATTGTTTTTAGAGTTGGCAGCATCTTAGAAAAAATACTTTTCAGTTCCTTGAAGAAAATGATTCCAAAGAACTTTTTGCCAAAAGAATCATGAAAACTTGGAGATTTTTTTCTATCTCATAATCTATAAACCTATAACTGTACAACAACTTTTTTTTTGTCAATGGCATTCTTTTTCCTCATTGATTCTCTCTCTCTCACTCTCTCTCATGTTGCCACTCCTTTCTAAACAATCTCAAAGAAATCTTGATGTATTTCTCCCTTGGAAGAAATGTACCCTATCTTCTGTTGAATAGTTCCCTCATATTAAAAAGAAAAGCAGTTGTAGGAAGGGCACATTTGTATTTAAGATTTATTTTCTGAGATTATTAAAATGCAAAAGGATTTCATTTATAAGACTCTGAAAGTAGTTTCCTCGAAATGAGAGAACTCTTTGGAGCTTGCTAGGGAAATTGGAGATTTGACTTAGAACCTAGGTTCTATCAGGCATGAAGTCAGAAAAAGACAGGTAGGGATCAGAATTTGGGAAAGAACTACCCAAGAACTTCTGGGAGGAGATTGCCTTTATTTTGAGATTTATTTATTCTTTGACTGCTTGTGCAGGTAGAGGATAGTGAGCAATAAACTACTGAAAGTAAGACTTACCTCTTTGTCCTTAAATTTTAATCAAAATGGCCATTGTACCCCTTTGAGATGCACCTCTCATTTCCATAAGATATTTGTTTCTTTTCCATTAAAAAAATGAACCAATGAGTATTTTTTTTAAAGATTTATTTATTTATTTATACAAGCACTGGGTACAGTCAGAAGCGCGGGAGGGTGAGAGAATTCACCAGAGCCAGAGGAGGGATCAGAACAGGCAGACTCATGAATGACACTGCTGAGGGGAGCAGTGGGTGCGGCAGGAGAGGTCTGTCGCGCCATGTGGGACCCTCGCTGGTGGCCGAGGATTGAACTGGTGCTGCAGGGGCTGCGGGGAGCTTTGCAATCCAGCGCTCAACCGCTGTACCACCAGGGAGGCTCCCAATGAGTATTTTTTGAGTGATTTTCAGATATGTGCTTCAGGATTCTAGAA